GATCATTGCTGAAATATCTAGACACAAGTAATTATTGTAATTTGGACCAATTACTAGAGATTTTCAAATTGATTTCTTGTGTATGGAATTTGATTTTTGATCAAGATAAAATTTATTTTGATGTTTGATTGAAGGTATGTATTTATAATAATTTGAAGAATTGTTATTGAGTCATATTTTGTATTTTCCATGGCGTGCTTCAATTAAAGTTTGTAAAATGCAACTTCATTGAATAATATTATTGCAAAAAGTAGAATGCTGTTCTCCTCTGACCACCAAGAAACAAAGTACACAACAATTTGAAATGGGAAATTTGAATTTCCTGTTTGTCGTGTCGCCAGAATGTTGAGCTGCTGTTTTTAAGGGCTTGAACCCCTGGCAAAATAGGGGCCACATAGACAAATAAAAAATATGATCCAACAAAAACAATTAAACAAATCATGCCATCATTGGAAACAAAACTCAGCTGTGTATTTGTGCTACAGTAGAAGCTGTAGATGTTCAGCAAGTAAATGAAGCAGAAGATGTTCATGCTGAATATAAATTTGATTATCTGATCTAGATTTAAGTGATAACCAAATAGACACTAAACATCATTAAGACTGTTGTTGTGGTGGTGGTGGTTGTCTCCTTCGGCTAAAAAAGGTAACTGGATGTGCTTGAGTGAAAGTATTTGAAAAGAATTTGTAATGCATCTGGTCTGTAATGGACTTGTACATGCATCTTTCTGGCAGGGCTGGTGATATTTGAAGTGTCTGGTACACAACTTTGATGACAAATTTAAAAAAACTGGCTTAAAACTGTAGAATCAAAATCAAAAGGCTGTGAAGGAAACAGCACATTTCATAGTTAATTTGCATATTCAAAGTGTTTTATTCAGCATAATTAAAATAGTACAAGCATGAATAAAAACCAGTGAATAATCAGCTCTGTACAGTAGTGCTTGTAAGATGGAGTTTGTTGTCTCGAGTGATGCGTCAATGGCGGTAGTATTTGTAGCATAATGAATCAGCATTATGTGTACATCAAAGCCATGTACAACAGGAATTTTTTTAAACAAGGGAACAGGGACGCAGCGACCTCATGCCATGGCCATGTGCCCCTTAGCCTGGGGGGCAGATCTCCTGGCAACCCTAACATTCTGATTGACCAGGGATCACATGTGGTCACAGTTGAAGACTTGTCTGGTAGTAATTTTGGCCCCAAGAAAGCCATAGAATGCTCCATTTTAACTTAGAATTATGAAAAACTCCATTGCCCGGTAGGGAGAACCCTATCTCCCAAACTTGGTGGCGCTGCTGAATTGCAGTGCTCCCTCTTGCAGATTTTTTCTAGAAAAACCCCTGTACAAGTTTTCAGTTTAGACATAATCAGCGAAAGTCCTGTCAACATGTGCACAACCGGAAAACATTTTTTTTCCCCAAATCATTTTGCCACTCCACACCACCCTCTGTCGATGAATTGATTTAACCAGCAAAATATATGCACCATCATATATATATCTTAGCAACAAATTTGGCAAAAATTTAACAGTTAACCTTTTATTTTGCAGTACTTTTATTTATGAATAAATAAAAAGTCATCCACATTATATGTACATGAGTAGATAATCTAGCATAGATGCAAATTTATTTAAGATATTCAAGAACTAGGTGTACAAAGCTAAATTAGATTTCCACATAACATACTCCACTGTTAATTCAAAGAGAAAAAGAGAAATATTTACAGGTTTGGTAATTTAGTATATTAAGCACATGTATCAATAAAATAAAGACCTACAGAATATCCATCGAAAGCAAAGATATTAACTTACAAATTATATTTACAAGTCCATTGCTTCAGTTTGTTCACTAGAATGGATTGAATCTTTTGTTCTATGTGGTTTGATCTTCTTTTTAGATTTCTGTGCCGGTGGTTTGTGTCTTCTTTCAAATCCCCTGGCAACACCCCTGCCAAATGTAATTGTCTTTGGTATTCTGAAAGTATGTGTACAACATGTCTAAAGTATATTATTTACCGGTATACACAAATTGTGTGCAGTTATGATGCAAACCACAATTGCCATTGAGAAATAAAGTGAGCATATGAAACCTGTACGGTGATGTTATATAATTTGACAAACACACACATACGAATGCTCTTCACACATGCTAGTCAGCATGTACTGAATTCCTTGTCTGAGCACTATGGGAGAATGGATGCATTTGGGTCTACTGCTTTAACCCAGACCATCCTTGGCAACGCCCAGAGATGTCAGTCTAAATGACACCTACTTTTTCTGGTAAGTGCAGGTCCTAGAGAGAGGCCTCTGAGGGATAGATTCTATGGGTACACAACTTGTTCTGGTAAGTGCAGATACTAGAGTGAGACCTCTAAGAGATAGGGCCTGTGAGTACACAACTTGTTCTGGTAAGTGCAGATCCTAGAGAGAGGCCTCTGAGGGATAGGGTCTATGGGTCAACAACTTGTTCTGGTAAGTACAGATCCTAGAGAGAGGCCTCTGAGGGATAGGGTCTATGGGTCAACAACTTGTTCTGGTAAGTACAGATTCTAGAGAGAGGCCTCTGGTGGATAGGATCTATGGGTACACAACTTGTTCTGGTATATGCATATGCTAGAGAGAGACCTTTGAAGGATAGGGTCTATTGGTACACAACTTGTTCTGGTAAGTGCAGATCCTAGAAGGAGGCCTCTGAGGGATAGGGTATATAGGTACACAACTTTTTCTGGTAAGTGCAGATTCTAGAGAGAGGCTTCTGAGGGGTAGGGCCTGTGAGTACACAACTTGTTCTGGTAAGTGCAGATTCTAGAGAGAGGCTTCTGAGGGGTAGGGCCTGTGAGTACACAACTTTTTTTGGTAAGTGCAGATCCTAGAGTGAGACCTCTGAGGGATAGGGTCTATAGGTACACAACTTTTTCTGGTAAGTGCAGATTCTAGAGAGAGGCTTCTGAGGGATAGGGTATATAGTACACAACTTTTTCTGGTAAGTGCAAATCCTAGAGTGAGACCTCTAAGGGATAGGGCCTGTGAGTACACAACTTGTTCTGGTAAGTGCAGATCCTAGAGTGAAACCTCTGAGGGATAGGGCCTGTGAGTACACAACTTGTTCTGGTAAGTGCAGATTCTAGTGCAGCGTAGAATTAAATTTAGTTGGTTTACTTTCTCTTCTCAGAGTTACAGTTCTAAAAATAATAACATTGATTTAATTTACAGCATGTCTACGATAGGTGTTCAATAAGTAATGCCCCTGACCCACTTCCAGTTGTTTGATCTAGATGAAATTTTGCATGTGTAATGATCTACATCTCTATGAGTTATTTTTCAAAAAACAGTTCTGAACTAATTGGGGTTTCTGATTTACAGGTGTTTGAACTGAGTCAGGTTTGAAATGGAGCCAGTTGAGTGTTGCGAAGTGATCGTTTTTTGTATTTGAAAGGACACCAAAAAGACTTGATGAAATCATTAATGAAAGAAACTTATGGTGATGATGCCCCATCATATGACCTTGTAAAATGCTGGCATCGTGAATTCAAACATGGCCGGAAACAGCTCCCAGACCTGGTCGTCCCTCTTCTGCCATTGATGAGGCATCTGTCCGTCAAGTTAAGGCAGCCATTTTGGAAGATCGAAACACTACTATTCGCCAAATAGCTTAAGAGGTCAAGATTAGTAGAGGGTCTGTGGAAACTATCATTCATGACCATTTGCATATGTATAAGGTGTCTGCCAGATAGATTCCCAGGTTGATCACACCTTTCGGGAGCAAGAATGTGTTGAGTGCTCAAGGATGAATTTGGAGATGTGCCAAGAAGATGAGTCAAAGTTTTTCAAAAGATTACACAGAATGAAACTTGGGTCCATCACTATGATCCAGAGACCAAAGCCCAGTCAATGCAGTGGAAGCACTTGGACTCCCCACCTTCAAAGAAGGTCATGCTCACAGTCTTCTGGGACCAGGATGGAGTAGTGATGACAGATTTCCAGGCAAAGGGTACCGCACTTACAGGAGCATATTAAGCTTCACTTTTGATGAACTTAAGAGAAGCTATCAAAATCAAGGGGGGGACAAATCAGCAAAGGTATCCTCCTCCTGCAGGACAACGCTCCGGTCCACAACTCTTATGTCGCCAGATCAGAAGCACAGGCGAGTGGCTATGAAACCCTCCACCACCCCCTTACTTTCCTGACCTTACCACCTCTGACTTTCATCTCTTCCCAGCCATGAAGTTGTTTTTGAAAGGAAAGCGTTTCCCAGATGATGCAGCCCT